AAGAACTCTGTATATATCATTTTAATGACTTCATTTTAATGGCTACTTTATTTAGTCATTTCCCTATTACGTGACATTTAGCTCGTTGAGGATTTTCATTGTTATAAGTAAAGACATGGTTAACATCAGTGTACGTAACTTGTCACATTTCTGATAACTTGGAGGATGTATTCCTAAAAACAAAAAGCCAGAGAAAAAGATATAAATATTTTTAAGATATTTGATACCTATTCCCAAATTGCTTTCTGCACAGTTTGTGCCAATTTATACGTCCCCATGCAGTTTGAGATTTTTTCCCCTGCATCTGAGGTCACTCTTGTAATATACATTTGTGTTTTTTTCAAATGTTTCTAGAAGAATTCTGATTGAAGTCTACAAGACACATTTACTCAACAAATCAATGACTTAAAAGATACAGCACATGGGCCTTATTAGGATCCTGATTCATTGGGATCATTAGTAAAAAGATATTTTTGAGAAATTTGAATGTGGACTGGGCATTATTGGTGTTAAGGAATTAGTGTTATTTTGTTAGTTGTGATAATGGCATAGTGGTTGAGTTGGGAAAATAAAGTCCTCATCAATTACAGATGCATCACTATAAATGAATGAAATGGCATGCTGTCTAGGATTTACTTTAAAATACTCCAGCAAATAAAGTTGGTATGCTTGGATGGGAGAAACATGGTTGGCAAAATGTTGACATTTGCTGAAACTTGGAAATAAAGGTTTATTATAGTATTCTCTCTACCTTTGTGTATGTTTGAAAAACTATCATAATGCAAAGATTTTAAATTTCTTACCTTGATTAAATTGTTAAAAGAATATGTAGTCGACAGCATATACATAAAAGACTGGGAGACTGCAGGCCTGCTCTCCTCTTTTGATAATCTTCATGGTCTTGATGAAGGACACCATTGGGGTTGACTGGGACCCTGGCAGTCCCTGGTTGCTTCATTCCGGGCCCCAAGGACAAGAGGGAGCCTAGTTTGGTCCCAGGAGCACCCTTAGGGGTTATAGTCACATTAAAACAGATCTGAAATGATTTATGGGAGCTAGACCAAAGTAGACTGCCAGGTGAACTTCCTTGGCCTCCAAACCAAACTCGTGTGCCCTTGGTCCCCAATCAGCTAGCTCATGTGCTCCTAGACTCGGGGGCTGGACACAAATCAGATGACTTCAGACTTGAAGCATAGGGAACAAATTTTGTATTGAAATGCACCACTTGTGACAATCAGTTTCATCTGTGTGCCTCTGAAATCCAGGGAGACCGAAATGCATGGGGCGTAACAGGTTTTTAAACTGATTTAATTACATCACCTGTTGGAAGAGGAGCAAATACATTCAGAAATGTGTGTTTTAATAAGTGAAGATTGTAAAGTTTCAGCTTCTGAATGCAGCCAATCCCCTGATTTTGGTACCATATTGGTTGGCCACTGTGGACTGGGTGTCTATGTGACACATAGAACTGTTGACGCTTGGTTGATTTTCCTCCCTCAATTCTATTTAAGCTGTGTACACCTGACAGTGGCTTGCACCCACTTAACATAGTCAAGTGGAAAGAACTCAGGCCTGGGAAGCAAGACAAATCTAGGTTCTAGTTCTGGCTTTACGCCTTTAGGCAAGTTACTTAGCTTCTGTATTCTTTTCTCATTCGTCAAATGGGGCTAATAGACTAGTAATTGATACCCAGCTCCCCAGCAGTGTGAGGAGGCAGTCACACCTGGCAGAGGGCAGACTTCTGACAATGCCTGTGTCCTTTTCCTCCACCAAGGAGGACCCTGAGGCTTATTATCCCCAATCCCAGGCATCCTTAGTGCTCAGCATTTGGGGGCTCAAAAACTGGGAGGCTTTCTATGAAAAAGCCTGCATTGTTAATTTACACACCTTTAAGCTCTGAGAACAGTAAACACTGTGGAAACCCTTTAACTTCAAACATCAGGAGGCTGTCCCCCGCTGCTTCCATGAAGGCCACATTTGTGCCATTTTCTGTTATTTTTGCTGATTGAAAAGAGGACAGTGATCAATCAAATACAGTAGGTAATCAAATGTCATGGATTATCCTTTCTTTAATAAAATTGAAGGTTTTAAAACCAAATAAACAAGATAGAATCTAGAAATCTTAAGTCCCTGCAACATGTTGCAAAATCACTGGGAGTCCCATTCTTTGGAAAAATCAGCATATCAAGCTTGTCAGCTGGCTTCACCGGTGTGAGCCCAAGTCACTCACCTCAAGTGAGACTGCAGTGGGGACCCAGAAGCCAAGACAACTCCATCATGCCTTTATTTTGGCCCTTGACTCCCTATGGCTTGTTTTGTAGATAGCAGTTTGTCTGTCCCAGCCTGCCTGCTGGGCTCCTTCAGGTCAAGGACCTTGTCTCGGTCACCCTTATGTGACCAAACACCAACTTAACAGGTGCTCAGGAAATTATTGCTGTTACCTTTGGCTGAGAGCTACTCCTGACATTTCCTGCTGCCCTTGTCTCCAAGAGTAAAATAATCAAGTCACCTCTGGGGTCAGAAAGGAAGGTTTTGGAAAAGAAAACATTCGTCCATTTGAATCCTGTGCTCCATGAGAAAATTATCTTCTGATTGTGGACAAGTGCCTCTCCTACCCTCCCACACACACCCCTCTTATTATTTCTGGGCCTTCCTCATTTTCGATAACTTTATCCAGTTTCTGGAATATAGTCGGGTCAATAAACAGCCCCAGATGAGTGTTTCTCCTTTTTCCTGTGTCGCCTCAGTTCTGCTTCCAATGAAGACAGCAGCGTTGCCCCTGTGCCCTCACAGCTTTGGGGCAAGGACTCCAGCTCCCATTTTTCTATCTTCTCAATGAGGAAATGTTCACAAGCTTTACCGGTTCCAGGAATTCACTGAGCCAGACGAGGTGCCCCAACGTCCTTTGATAATCAGGGACGAATTACTCGATACTTCGAGTAGTCCTCAGTTTTCTTTGGACTGGGAAGAAAAAGACATTGCTCTCAGCTCAAACTCACTAAGATTTTTCTTAATTCTCCACTCCTTCAACCCCCTCATTTCAACTTGAGCTTGGGGATAGTAATAAAGATACTAACAAGAGAAAACCCAGCAAAGGCAAAGTATTTATTTACATAACGAAGATACCTAATAAATGATATTAGATACCAAATAAACCTCCACTGCCAAGAGATGCTGAGGGCCTTTGATTTTGAAAGCAAGAGTTCTCAGAGAAGAGATTATGGTATGATTTTTCTCTCTGCCATTAAGAGCCATCACAGTTACTCCCGGTGGAATTATTCCTGGTCCCTCACTCCTTCCTTAGCAAATCATCCTGCCCATTCCACTCCATCCCACCCAGCTGAAAAGCTCAATCAGTATCTTCCTCCAGTCTCTTGGGTCTAGGCTGTTAATTTCTTGCCCTAATGTAGACACTTGTGTGCTGAGAAAGGAAAACTGAATTTAATTGGAAAGCTAAATGGTAACACAGTAGGCACATCTAGGTGTTGGGGAAAGGCGGCCCCTTGGCTCCACCTGAGGAGAGAAGGAGATCAGAATCGCAGGAGCCCACACACCACGAGGTCTCATCTGACCACTTCCCAGAGTGCACTGGGAGGCAGCCACGGGCCGAGCTGTGGCAACAGAGAAAAGTGTTGTCTTGGGGACAAGCAGGGTATTCTCAGGAAAGAAGATAATGGATGAGTCCTTGAGTTCACAATGATGCAGCCCAAGTTAGGAAACTGAACTTGATACTAAAGAAAAAATGGAACCAAGAAGGTTTGTTCTGAATAAGAAACTGAACCTGGGGAGGCATGCTCAGTACTTTTTTTGAATATGTTTGTATGCAGAGTGACTTTGACGTCCGTTCCCTCAAACAAATCAAACTTCTCATGGTTACAGAATTATTTGCTTGGAAGGAGCCCATGTCGCTCAGGGTGGGCTGACCCTCAGGGCCCCTCAGTGAGAAATGCTGAATGTATCAGTGCTCTTTTCTGTTTCTCATTTTTCTTAGTGACGCCCATTGTCCTGCAATCGGTATTCTTAGTAACATGTCTGTGTGCATGGGTAGAAAGGTCAAGAAGGTGGAAATTGCAAACAGTAAGAGGCAAAGGCAAGAGAGACGTTTTCTATTTTATTGGACGATACCAACACTGAGTTTCACTCCCAACACATAAGAATTTTGTTTAAAAGATGGGAAAGACTTAAGCAAATTTCTCATTTCTACATAGGCTGGCACATGCTGTTTCTCTGCCTGGAACAGCGCCCCCCACCCCCCCCACCACCACCAGCACCAGTACCACCACCACCACACACACACCCCTCCTCCTTGCTTGCCTAACTCCTTTTTAGCCTTCAGGCCCTGCTTAGTCTCCCCAGAACCCCAAGTCTGAGATGAGTTCCCCTCTTAGCAGCACCCATAGGACCCTGTACAACACACAACAGTTATCACAGCACAAAACTTATCACACGATATTGCAGTCACCTCACTAGACTAGAGTTTCATGAGGGAGGGGTCCAGATCTGTCCTTTCTGCGTTTCTATCCCCAGTTCCTGGAAGGGCACTCAATAAGTGTTCATGGAATAAATGAATTCCAGTGAGTCTGTATAAGCCTTTCTTTGGATGAGCCTTTGTTTATCTGTCTGAACAATGTCTGTTGATTATGGTTGTTCAGGTTGTGTACTGTACAAGGACATCTAGCAGAGTCAGGAGGGGAGGCTGGAATCCAGCCGCCATTCTCATCACCAAGCCATTTTTCTCTGGCTGTATCCACCCTGAGGAAGAGGTACCTTTTTCTGATTTGCACAATGGCACCATATGGGCTTTCAGCAGGGCAGCTCTGATCAACACTTAATGTCTTCAAAAGGGAGTGAGAATTCTCCCTCTCACTCCTAGAAAGGCTAGGACTGAGAGCTTTTATGAAACTATTTCTTTAGGTCCTTTACCAGCCATCAAAGCCAAGATCTTAACCCATTCACAGCACAGACCTCCCTCACTCTTCTCTAATTTTTGTCTCTTGCAGGGTTTGGGATGACGACTCCAGCAACAGTAGGAGGAAAAGTCTTTCTGATCTTTTATGGCCTCATTGGGTGCGCCAGTACCATCTTGTTCTTCAACCTCTTCCTGGAGCGCCTGATCACCGTCATTGCCTACATCATGAAATCATGCCACCAGCGGCAGCTCCAGAGACGAGGGACCCTGCCCCCGGCGAGCCTGAAGAACCCAGGGAAGTTGGAGGTGGATAGCTTGGCTGGCTGGAAGCCCTCCGTGTACTACGTCATGCTGATCCTGTGCATGGCCTCCCTTCTCATCTCCTGCTGCGCATCAGCCATGTACACCTCCATCGAAGGGTGGAGCTACTTTGACTCACTCTACTTCTGCTTTGTAGCTTTCAGCACCATTGGCTTTGGGGACCTCGTCAGTAGCCAGAACGCCCAGTATGATAGCCAAGGCCTCTACCGCTTTGCCAACTTTGTCTTCATCCTCATGGGTGTCTGCTGCATTTACTCCTTGTTCAATGTCATCTCCATCCTCATCAAACAGTCTGTGAACTGGATTCTAAGGAAAATAGATGGCGGGTGCTGCCAACAATGCCAAAGAAATCTCTTGTGGTCACGGAGCAACGTGGTGATGCCAGGCAATGTCCAGACACGGTGCAACATCTCCATAGAAACGGATGGGGTGATGGAGAGTGACACGGATGGGCGGCGTCTCTCGGGGGAGATGATCTCCATGAAGGACTTCTTAGCAGCCAACAAGGTCTCGATGGCCATCCTCCAGAAGCAGCTATCTGAAACGGCCAACGGCTGCCCCCACCAGAGCAGCACGGTGTCCCGGGACAATGAATTCTCAGGGGGCGTAGGAGCCTTTGCGATAATGAACAACAGGCTAGCAGAGACGAGTGGGGACAGGTAGGAGCAAGGAGCGGACGCTGGCATGGAGGCCTAGGGGAGAGTGGGCGATGAGGGGACTGTCATTCAGTTCGGCTCTGCGCCATGGCTGGGTTCATCCTGGAGCTGCTCCTTCTGGCCTCCTCAAGTCCAGCTTTAGAAGTCTCGTCTTCTTGGCTCCAACAAACAGCCACCTTTCAGGGCTGCGGGAACCTGAGCCTCAATACCTTTCTGTTTATTTTTATTATTTACGACTAAACTCAGTATTTTAAAAATGAACCACAAAAGCAGTCTAAGACATTGCACTGTTTCTTTACTTACCTCGCTGCAGGGTTTTAACTGCCTACGAGAGGGAGGGTTTATGGAAGCCTGGATTTCTCGCAGCTCTGTTCTTCCTTTGGAAATAAAAGTCCTGAAGGTCCTAATTTTCCTCTGGAACTCTGAATGCCTGAATCCACTGCCTCTCGCGGCCCCTTTGAAAAAGAGCAGAAAACGTTGGAGAATGGGCCTGGACTCTGGGCTTCCTTCAGAGCAGATTTCTTCGCAGTGCTGTGGACATGGAAACCATCTATTCTACTTTTTATACCTGCGCCTCTGCTTTTGTTTTTCCCTTCTTTTATTTTTCAGATCTTAATGCGTGGCTAAGGTGTCTGTGGACCTCTGTGTGGTAAGAAAACTAAATTCGGCTTCCAGCCTTTAAGTGCAGTAAGGTGATGGGGAGGCTCACTTTTGTAACTAAAGAATATAGCTGAGGGGGCCGGCCCAGTGGCCTAGTGGTTAACTTCGGTGCACTCCACTTCGGTGGCCCGGGCTCACGGGTTCGGATCACAGGCCTGGATCAACATCACTCGTCAGCCATGTTGTGGCAGCATCTCACATATAAAATAGAGGAATATTGGCAGAGGTGTTAGCTCAGAGCGAATCTTCCTCAAGCAAAGAAGAGGAAAATTGGCAACAGATGTTAGCTCAGGGCAAAATCTTCCTCAGCAAAAAAACAATATATATGTGTGTGTGCATATGTGTATATGTATATGTATATATATATATATATATATCTCTCTGAACATTTTCCCTCTGAATGGTCACAGGTTCCATTTCATTTTTACCAGGGCTTGGGGCCCATTGCAAAGATAATGGCTGACTATTTATTAGAACTGAAAATTTAATAAATCCTCATTTTATTAACTGAGATTACATGAGTGCTCATTATGAACAGTGGGGGTGTGGAGGGAGTACCTCATTAAATAGGCATTTATTGTGCTCAGATTAAAAGGAAGCAGGAAATTAAACTTTAGAGATATGAGCATCATCTTCGATACTTGAATGGAGAAAGATTCTAGCCCAGATAATGAAATGTGGCTTCTCTTGTCTAATCTGTTTCAGTTCTGCCTTCTCGGATTGTCACAAGTCTGTTACATGACCTCCCAAGCATTTAAAACGTCCATGCTAGGAACAAGAACTGCTGATCTTCATGTAAGCAGGAGAGAACATTTTGGGGGATGAGAGCAGAGTTAAAAAGAGAGAGCTGTTGGGGCCGGCCCCATAGCGTAGTGATTAAGTTTGGTGCGCTCTGCTTCAGTGGCCCAGGTTCAGTTCCCAGGCGTGGACCTACACCACTCGTCTGTGGCCATGGTGTGGTGGCAGCCCACATGCAAAATAGAGTAAGATTGGCACAGATGTTAGCTCAGGGCAAATCTTCCTCAAGCAAGAAAAGAAGATTGACAATGGACGTTAACTCAGGGCAAATCTTCCTCAGTAAAAAAAAAAAAAAAAAAAAATAGAGATAGCTGTTGTTTTTGTGAGATAAGAGTGGTGTACACACAGCACTTCTAGAAATGATGAGGAAAGACCAGTGCAGCAAAGACGATAAAGCAGAAAACCTATGCCTAGTGAAACTGAAATGTTGAGCAGAAAGCATCAGAGCTGGGAGGACCCTTAGGACCCATCCCATCCAGCCGCCTCTTTTTTACACAAGGGAACAGAGGCACCAAGGGATTGCTTCTTGTCTCGGCTCTTAGGGCTGATGCTGTGCAGCTAGAACCCCAGTCCTCTGATGGAGAAGTCTGGGCTCTTCGCGGGTGCTCCACACAGCCTCAGAATCCTCCCTCAAGGGCTCCCTCTTCAGGCTGTGTTGCTTTTTCCTCCGGCTGGCACATCCGTGTATTTTCCGTACAATACCCGAAGTGCCCACAGCAGAAGTCCTGTAAGCAGCAGCGCTGGGCTTTGAACTTAGGGCTGTGCAGCTCCAAAGTCAGAGATGTTCAGCTATTACCGTATATCACTCTTAAAGGGAAGCATCCTGAAGCTACTGCAAAACCCTTGTTAGGAACCTCTGATCACAAACTGAGCTTCCCGTGGGCTCTACCGTGCACCAGCACTGTGGGGATGGCGAGAGGAGCTGGGTCCCTGCCCCTGGGGGATTTCTTGATCTCCATGTTCCTGGTACTGGCACAAAGCAGGTCCTTGCTTCTCTAACCCAGGTCCCTGGAGAACTGGGAGGTGTGCCAGGATGCCAAGGAGCATCAGTGTAAGGAAGGCTCATCTTCCTAGAGGGTCAGCTTTACGAAATGATTTTTGCAGAGATGTTGTATCAAAACACACGACTGTATTAAGTAGGATCCAAAATTGGCATAAACTTTAAACATGAAAAAAAATTGAGCTTTTGATGAGTTTCCTGAGGAGTCCTCTCAGGGTCTTGGGGAATGAGTTTGTTCTGCTCTGGGTTGGGGGTTCCCTAGAGTAAACAGTTGAGAACCAGTATAAGGAGAGAAATGCAGTACATTTACAAAGAATGGATGGAGAAATAAATGGATGGAGGAATGGATGGAGAGAGGGATGGAGGGAAGAGGGATGGAGGGAGGGATGGATGGGAGTAACATATGCCAAAAAAATTGCAAAATCAGGAATTCTTATTTACAAATCCTTATAGGTCTTTCTATAGTTACTCTTAGGCATGAATTGGTCAACAGGGGAATTTCTAGTTAGTAATCAGCTGGAGTTCAAAACCTGGAGCCCGCAAATCCCCTAATGTTACGTATGTACATACAGGTGTGAGAGGAAACACACACGTGCATACATGTGCATTTTCCTGGGTAATGAGCTTCACGGTTCCCATCATGTTTCCGAAGGAGTCTTCATGTCTTCACTAGACTTAGAATGTTTACTGCTATTTTCTCTTGTCCCCTTTGTCCCCACTCAGCAGGTCTCTAGCCCCTCACCAGTTCTCTCTATTCTGTTCTCTCTGAACCATCACCATATGGCCTCCCCAGCAGAAATCATGTTCTGCTACCCTGGCAGCTTACTGGCCAAGAGGAGAGTGACTGTTTGCAGAAGGCATTGAGGTTGGCCCAGGCTCCTCTGTTTAGGAAGGCAGAGACTCCCTGGAGTGAGAAAGGGACCCACTGACACGACATCCATGAAGCTCTCAGGCTTCGTCCATGGCTTGGCTCACAGCTGGGCTGTCTTGCGTTCTCTGTGGTGTTATAAACATGAACCAGCCTTTAATTCAGGGGCCTCGAAGCCAAGACATGGAGTTTCTCACATGACCGTCGTCCCACACCACTTGCACAAGTTTTGCCATATCTCCATGCTACCTGAAATAGTATCTTCTTAATATTTTAATCAACTCAGTTTTTAATTAGTTTTGTTTTAAAAAGAAACTTTGTCTCACTAACTGGATGGACAGCTAGTATCACTTGTTTTAAATAGAAAATACAGTCGTCGTAAAAATCGATAAAATGAAGATAAAGCTATGTTATTAAATTCTAGCCAGAGCCTGTATCCTCGTAAGGGCTCTGAGCCTGAGACCTTTCCTCTCTTGGTTAAAAATGGAGATTGACAAGAGTCGGGGAGGTGTTAAAGACACACTAGCACCAAACAGAAACTTTCTCCATGATGTAACTTTCAAAAGGACTGGAAAAGAATTCGAAAGGGAATAACTTTCTCACTGTGTGATTTGATGTTAATTCATTCCAAGCCTGAGGGCCTCTAAAATCATTTCATGTTGCACCCAAATCATTGGTGTACATTCCACACTGGGAGCTACAGAACATTACCAAAGTATAGCACAGTTTCTGAGGTCAGGCCACCGCATGGTGAAGACCAGTTCTTGAGTCTGAACACCAGCCCTGACAGTTCCAACGTGGGAGAGGGTGGGCAGTCTGTCAACCTCATGGTGCTCCAGTCCCTCTGCACCTGTGATATGCAAATGTTTACAGCGTCGGATCAAATGTGGTGATGCTGGGGCAGGCCTTTGTGGTCCCTCAGGAACTGGATGGGCAGTGGGCGCTGCTGGTCCACGTGCTGGGGGACGGAGGGGGGAATATTACATCCAACAATGAAAGATTTCCTTTTGTTCTTGCACCTGATACCCAGCACTTGCCACACTGTTTCGATAATGGTTCTCAATTATTAAATGGCATCACTCTTGGTGATGGTTTTATACTAAAGCAAAAGACCCCAAAACCTTTATTTTTGTTCCACTGAGTCCTTTCATTTCAGTATAAACCAAGCCAATTGAACGATTTGACACAGTAAAATGTTTTGGAAAAGCTGTAGGAATATCTTGTGTATTGCTGGAATTTTATGGTCTTTAAGGCTTACCCATTCACAATGGTAATATTTTGTCCTTCATAACCACATTGTGAAGTAGGCAAGGCACTTCAGATTGCCTTTAATCTTTTCTAAAATAAGAGATAAATAATCATATTTTACATACAAATGAACTGGGGTTCAGATTGACAGTAGATTCGAGGATAAGCTTTAAAATTATACAGACTGGGTTTGAATTTTGGCTTTGTCACTTTTTGGCTATATGAACTTGGGAAAGTTATTTAAGGCCTCAAAGCCTGGTTTCCTCATCTGCAATGTGTCTGCATTGCTGCATCACTGCCCCAGCTGAAGGGGATGATCCGGATCTGGGCTCTCACATCAGAGCCTGTGGTACCGAAGCCCTGGCTGCTGAAGGATGAAATGTTTCAGCATTCCAGAAGCCAGGGGTTAAACAAGATCAGCTTCTAGAAGGGCCCATTTTATTCCAAGGTTTGGGAAGAAAAGGAAGTTTCCTCCTCTCTATTTGATGTTTTTTAAAACATTCTTTTACGATCACATGGAAATTGTCTCTGGGAAGCCAGGATGGTTCAACATTTGCAAATCAATATGATACATCACATTACTACAATGAAAGATAAAAATCACCTGATCATCTCAATAGAAGCAGGAAAAGTTTTTGATAAAATACAATATCCTTTTATGATAAAAAAAACTCTCAACAAATTGGGTATAGAAGGAATGTACCTGACAATAAAGACTGTATGTAATAAGCCCAAAGTTAACATCCTATTCAACAGGGAAAGGCTGAAATCATTTCCTCTAAGATCAGGAATAAAACAAGGCTGCCCACTCTCCCCACTCTTATTAAGCATGACAATGGAAGCCCTAGCCAGAGCAATTAGGCAAGAAAAAGACACAAAAGGCATCAGAATTGGAAAGGAAGAAGTAAAATTGTTTCTGGCTGCAGATGATATGATCTTATATATAGAAAATCCAGAAGACTCCACAAAAAAAACTATTAGAATCAATGAATTCAGTAAAGTTGCAGGATACAAAATCAACATACAGAAATTTAGTTGTATTTCTATACACTAACAATGAAATATATGAAAAAGAAATAAAATCCCATTTACAATGGGATCGAAAACAATAAAATACTTAGGAATAAATTTAACCAAGGAGGTGAAAGACCTGTGCACTGAAAACTATAAGACTTTGATGAAAGAAACTGAAGAAGACACAAATAAATGGAAAGATATCCTGTGTTCATGGATTGGAAAAATTGATATTGTTAAAATGTCCATATTACTGTAGGGGAGGAGGACATTTCCTCTCCCCAAATGGGGGTTCGTCTGGCCGGAGAACAAATTAAATTCACATGAGACAGAATAGCAAGAGAAAATTAAACAAAGCTTTATGAGGAACCATGGCCCGGGGACTTTCTTCCCGAAGGAAGAAAGGGCACCGAAGAAGTGGGGTGCACATAGTGGTTATATACCCCAAACAGGGTGTTTCACATGTGATTGAAATGTCCCTCCCACAATAGTCACAAGATTGCCCTGTCAGCACAGTGCTTGATGGACACAGCAGGTAGTGGTCTGCTATCTCGGTGCGCGTAGCAGGAGGCAAGTCGATTGTCTGGAGCTGGGCCGG